ACGGAGGATCACTTACAAGGTTGTCCTTGGTTTGATCAAAGGGTTAGCCAAGCTTGCGGCCTGGATGTTGGAGCTAATTGGCCGAGTGGCCCGCCTTGGAGTGTTTGTTTAGCTTTGTAGTTTGGTCATTTGGAACCAGAGGCTATACGCCCTTGTAGTTTGTTGCTTTAGAGCTTGGTCACTTTTGGGCCAAGCAAATTATGTAAGCCATTGGCCTTGTTTGATTTGTGATATAATACTTCCTTGTTGGTTAAAAAAAAATAAATAATTAAATACTCTTTACAATTAAAAAAACTGATCTGATACACAAACATGATGTGTAAATTTATAGTATGTTTGGTTCATGTGTTTATAAACTAAGAATGAGAATAAAAAAATCATGGTTAGTGCTTAGTTCACAACTTTTTAAAACACAAGTACGGGATTTGATTACTCCTTCAATTAATAAACTCATTTTCTAATTAAAAACGGGTATCATTCTATTTTATTAGTAATCTAATTTAATAATTTTTAAGTTTCGATTAGTACTTTTAAATATTTGTTTTGAGTTTTTTTGTTGTTCACATTGATATTTTGGATGTCATTATATTATAATAAATGGTCTTGATTTTTTTTTTTTTGGTATTTTTAAATATTTATTCTCATTATAGTGTAATAAATAACCAAACATCAATATTTGTAATCATTATAATTTCACTATACTACCAAACATGCAAAATACTGTCATCAAAGGTCTTTTTTTTTTTTTTTTTTTTTTTTTTTTTTTTTTTGTGTGTACCCAAGATTTCCACCGTCGGACACAGTGACTAATCCCAACAAATCTAAGTATAGTGCTTGGTGTATTGAGCTAGGGGTGTGACCATGTGGGTAGTTTACAAACAGAAATTTGCACTTTTCATTTTTAAGTTATACTATATAATTGTATAATTCGTTCCTAAGTGTTGATTGTGCTCACTTTTCGCCTCTATGTTATCATTGATGTTGCACTTTTTGTCTCTTTACTAATAAAAAAATTAGACAAAAAATATTACAATTTTAATGTAACTTAAAAGCAAAAAGTGAGAATATAAAAACGAAAAGTGAATATGATCGACAATTATAGACGAATTTGCATGTAAAATTTTGTTGACTTAATGACAACTTAGTAAACTACACTTCATTATCGCTATATTACCAATTGTTTGAACAATATTTTCTTTTACTTAAAATTTTATAGTAGTATATATTGTTTTTAACTAATCAAATTCATCTAAAATTTAAAATTTGATTCAAATTTCTGGTGGTTTAATATATATATATATATATATATATATATATATATATATCCCACTTTTAATGGCACCGCTTTTAATATTATTTATCATTTAGCTAATCTTTGTGATGCATTAATTGATGTGTTTTTAGTATTCTTTACTTATATTTCTGTGCTATAAATGAAAAATCGAAGGGGTAATGGAAAAAGGTTGACAAGAAATTTCATTACTTTTATTACCTTATTATTAGTTAGTATGATAGAACTTAAAACTGATTAATTTCCTTAAAGGACAAAACTTGACTTAGCATTCATGCATCTGCTATACGTGGGTCTTCATTTACTCCTCTGATTTTTACATTAAACGAATTTACATTATAAAATTAATATGATATAAAGAAATATCAATTATTGTATAAACTCATGAAAAATTCAATTGGAATATAAGTGGAGATAGACGGAATTTACCTAAATTTGACAATCAATGTGTCACTTGAAATGTTTAAAAAATATAACAAACCAAATAGATTAACAATAAAACACTCCATGTTCAATTGGAGTAAGCTCTAACTTAAGAGGCGTCTTAGATATTGCTATCAAAAGCATGTATTGTTGAGACTTTTATGCCTTTTGTATTTTTATTAAAATTTTAAATTTAATCATTATCCAAATAAATCTATAAATATATGCTCTTTTGGTATGTTACTCATCAAATCAATATTATATATATATATTTTTTTTTTGAATGCTACTAGCTCTATTACATTGTAGTATCTGTTCATATACTTTCTCAACCTACTGAAACACAAAGAGCTAATAACGCCTCCACTGAAGCTCGAACTCATAACCTTCCAAATGGAAGTCCAACCCGGATACCATTGGACCACATATTATATTTTTTAATTTAACCATTTGTGTATATGAGATTATGCAAATCCCTTCCAGCTTAACCATAAATTTTGTTGCTTAAAGAAAGTGCTTATCAAATTGAATATTTTTTCTCCTTTATTTGATTTATATATACAAACTCTCTTTCTTGTTTAAAAATGTACGATTTATATAAAAAAAAATTTCGATTTATATAATTCATTTTTCCTTTTGAGTCATGTATGATTATATAAAAATACTATGACATAAAAGAATATTATGTATGGATTTCAAAGGACACATTGTATTGCATGTACCCCAGCCACAAACCTCAGCTCATTGTTTTGTTTTACCCTATACACTATATATTTGTTCCATCGGCTCATAATTAATGCCATCAGCCACCCATTTTTATTTTTATTTAAAGAAACTCTTCGTCTCCGATCGTGGAGACGAAGATACCTGTCGGTTCTTTGTCTCCGCCCAGATTATGTTTTTTTTTTTTTTTTTTTTTTTTTTTTTTTTTTTTTTTAATAATTAAATTTTAAGTTTTATTTTTTAAAAAATAATTAATTTAAGAAGATGACCTGTTGGAAACCTTCAAATTGGAAGAATTGTTTGAAATTGGTTAGTTTAGGAACCCAATTGTTTGTTTTTTGGATTCAGTGGCCTAATTACATTATCGTGCGCAGTTCGATGGCCTATTTGACCCTTATTCCTATAAAAAAAATTATGTACTTCTAAATAATCTACTTTACATATACAAATAATATGCTTTTAATATATTAAAAAGGAAAATACTATATGTAGTCCCATTTCTAGGTCTCAACTTTTACTCCTCCCACAAATTTTTGATGTAGACATTTTCCTTGGGACCCACATGATGAAAATAACCAATCTTTGTTTGTCATGTCATGGAGTAAAAGTGAGGAAATAAAATTAGGAGTACATGTAGTAAAACTCTATTAAAAATGTTTATTTTATTTATGGTTCACACAAATGTGTGAACCATGATCCATGTAATGGAATAATAATTGTAGTAGAATAGTAGCGTGGTTCCCAGTTCTCACCTAGTTTCCTGATTTTTTAAAATCACATAATAATGCCACCAAATTGCTAGCGTACCATATGATGATTAAGAAAGGGGGAGATGATAAAATTGATACTAAAATCAGGTGTTAATTGTTAATTGGTGATTGTTAGAAGGTTGTTAGGAAATAACTGATTTAGAAATTCAAATGAGTATGTATATTATATAGTATATAGGGAGGTTGTAAATCATCAGTTTTGGTAATAAAAACATTCTACACTGATCGAAGCAAGCTAAGCAAGAAAATAAAAAATATGTTGGGTTTCAGTCATAGGCGGCAAAGGGTGGTTACGTGTAACAATATAATTGTCATTATATTATTCCTATTCCTATTCCTATCTAATTATATATAAATACCAAAGCCCCAGACATGGACTTGTAGAGCATGTTCTAAGTATAGTGCTTGGTGTATTGAGCTAGGGGTGTGACTATGTGGGTAGTTTACAAACACAAAATTTACACTTTTCGTTTCTAAGTTATACTATATATAATTATATAATTCGTTCTTAAGTGTACTGTTGATCTTGCTCACTTTTCGTCCATATGTTATCATTGATGTTGCATTTTTGGTCTCTTTACGAACAAAAAATATTACAATTTTAGTGTAACTTAAGAGTAAAAAGTGAGAATATAAAAACGAAAAGTGAATATGATCAACAATTATAGATGAATTTTATAATTATGGTATAACTTAGGCATGAAAAATATAATTTTTCTCAAAAAACAAATTAAAGAAAATCAATTTGGGTTCCCTTTACCACTTTCAATATTCTATTTGGAAATTGCTTTTCTAGACTGTCAAATTTTCTTTCAACTTCACCCTTTTTAGGAGACAGTATTTATAATTCGTCCGTTGAGTGGTGATGGAAAGAGACAATGTATTTGCGTGGCTGTTGCATATTTGCCTTTTTTATGCTAGGAGATGGCCTTACCATTTTAATAATTTTAAATATATTCTTTATTTATTTTATTTGTATTTTTATTTTGTTAAATATTTATATTTAAAATTTAAATTACATCATTTTAAAAATTTAATTGAGACGATCGAAACAAGACTAATATTTAATATATAATAATTAAAATTTTAAATACATTAAACATAACTACAACATAATAAAAATTAAAATACATATTCAAAGAATGCTACAATGTTCAACATGCAACATTTTATAAATAGTTAAGTTGGTTATAATAATAATCAATATATATTACATTTTTGTTATTTGGTTTTCACTTTTGAAGTTTACGAGTATAATTTTGTGGACCACCACAACATAATTGCTTAGCCTCAATCTACATGTCATTATCAGATCACTTTTTTTGTACTAGGTTGCATGAGACTTGTGTTGTGCACCTCACCACATCCACTTCTTTATTTATGTATTATTATGTGGACCCAACCACAAAATCAAATTTGCATTGTTCCTCTTTAGCTCAATGTGTACAACGGTCTACGAGCAACTTTCTATCCAATAGGATAGTTATTATTATTACTACTCGTCCAATGGGTATATTTATACGCAAATTATGTTGTGTAATCGGTTGTAAAAATGACGTTGTTTTGACTAAAAATGTGTGTCTCACTTTAAAAAAAAAAAAATTAGGTTCGATTCTCGGCAATAGCATTTTTTTGTGCATAATTTGAATTATATATTCACAAATGCATAACTATATATCCACAAATTCATAACTATATATCCACAGTGAATGAATAACACAAAATTCAGAATGAATGAACTAAATATCCACAATGAATGAACTAAATATCCACAATGAATAAACTAAAAATCCACATATGCACAACATAATGTTATTGAGGGGAATCGAAACTGATTTTTTTTTTTTAATGGGACGCGCGTTTTTAGTCAAAACGACGTCTTGCAACCGTGTGCACCATGCGGTTGCACAACATAACTATTGATATTTATATTGATGAAGATTGGAGCGAGGATACTTTTCCTTGTAAGAATTTGAATCACATGAAAAAAAATCTGTTTATATAAAAAATAGGAAAATATTTCAATCTTTTATCTTGTCCAGATAAATGCCCAATGTAAATGATTTAAAAAAAAAAAAAAAAACTCGTATCATTTTGATAATTCTCTCTAACTTTGAAGAGCATAAATTTTATACTACAAGTATCTAAGTTTTGTAGTACTAATGCGTAGGTTTAATGCTGCAAGTACATAGGTTTAAATATAAATGTTGTGGCATTTTGATAATTTTTTATTTTTTAAAGTTTGAATTAAGTGCATAAGTTTTATAATACAACAGCATATGCTTATACTACAAAGTTTAAATTATTTTTGTCTTTTCTTTAAAATCGTTGATCTGGACAAATCAACGGCTCAAATTTAACCACATTTCGTACTTAAGACGCTTCTTTGTACTTGTGTGTGTGTGTGTGTGTGTGTGTGTATATATATATATATATATATATATATATATATATATATATATACAATTTTTGGAAATTTTAAAAAATGAAGTTAATTTTATAATTATTGCAAACATAAATGTTTAGTAATTATAAAATCCAAGCCTTTGATTTCTCGATATGAGGTGAGTTTTGTTGGACCACACTTAGATGATATGCCCATCAAATTAAAATTGAATCCTTATTTCATTATTTGTTAAAAATTGTATAAATTTATTTTTAATTATTATTATTATTATTATAAAATATACTTCTATACATTAACACACTAAAATCACTACATAAATAGCATCACTTTATTTTTTGCTTACCGAAGATAAGTCATTATGCCATGACTTGGTAAAGAGTCCACACAATGATCAAATATATAGAGAATTATACCGTCTCTAGTAGGTACTCTACCGGATTCATGAAAAGTAGACATTTAATATGATCATTATGAGGTTTAATTCCAGTACACTCTTGTTAACATGGTATAGTTAATTATCATGAGAAAAAGTGTATTACTTACCCTCGATGAGTTTTCAAGTCACTCAAGAAAACATGCATTACATATATAATTGTTGGCTTTAACTCTGATTTTTAAAATTTGTTATCATTTTCATTGTAATTTTGCTTTTAATCTAAATTTATTTTTCTCCTTTTCTTTCCGTACAAATAAAATTAAAATATAAGAAATATATCATTGATTTTTTCAATTTTTTAAATTTAGAAGTTCATTTTATATAATATATATAGTGGCAAATTAGTTTTAGTTTAAACAGTGGCAAAATTAGTTCAATATTTGTATTTGGATGAATTATAAACTGAATTCAATTTTATTTTGAGTAAAATAAAAAATAAAAAAGAAGTTATGATAGGCTGATAGGATCAAGCGGGGAAGAAGTTTAGTGTATAGTGTAAAAAAATAATGAGATTTGTAAAAAACATAAATAAATTAATTAAGGAAGGAGACATATACAAGCTACTACATACAAATCGTCTTCACCGAAAACTCTAACCCATCACCTCTCACATAGGAGAACAACTTGCTTACCAGTAGACTATTAATATAAATAAACAAATAAATAAGTAAATATTAACTATAGTTGTGTCTTTATTCTTTTGTAGTGAAAATATTCATTTTCAATTTTTCTTTAAAAACGTGTAGTATAACACCATTTTTATCATTCATGTGAGCTATTTTCATCTTTTGTAGGTTATCCAATTTTATATATTTAACCCAATTAATAAAAATTGATTCCAAATTTATTTATAAATCATTTGAATCAATTAATAATTGAATCTTTCTAGAAAACTCACAAGAGAACCCAAAATAAAAATTGTAATATTTATTACTAAACTTGACAATATTTTAATTTGGAACTTATAAAAAAAAAAAAAAAAGTAAGATAACAAAAATGAGATGAAAGGAATGGGTAACCACTAAATTTAATTAAATTAAATCACGATTACACTACCCTTCACTCTTTTGCTCAATAATTTACAACGGCCTGATCTACAAGCAAGCTAGCAACTTCAGAGACGAAAGGAATGGGTAACCACCAAATGAGTTCTACTATATGTATTCTTAAATCTTACACTTTCATTTTTATTCTATGACGTGGTAAAATAAGATTGAGATATTTTTATCATGTAAATCTCAAAAAAGATATATACATTAAAATAATATATAATGTGTAGGAGTGAAAAAGATTAGGACACAAAAAAAAGGGAGAAAAGGCTCTATAGTTATGCTATGAACCTGGGTCTACCTTGCAAGGTAGACTCTACCCAATTCAAAATACACAATTTATATACTGAATGTTCATAATTCAAATTGTGAACATTCAGTATGTAAATTGTGTACATTTTGTATATAAAATTGTGAAACTTTAGTAGCATTGTGAACATTTCGTATATAAAAATTGTGAACATTTAGTATGTAAATTATAAACATTCAATATGTAAATTGTAAACATTCAATATGTAATTGAGTATTTTTGGATCGGACTCTACCTTGCAAAGTGGACCTACGTCCACGGAATAATTTGCCCTTGGAAATAATAATAAGGAAAATGGGCTTGAGAAGGCAGGCTTAGAATGGGCCAGATGAGGGACAACGGATTAAATGCTGAATCTTGCACACTATGGGCCGGAAACTGCGCAGAAGAAGAGGACGGGGGAAAAGAACAATCATTATTGTGTGGACCATGGTCCATACAAATTGTGTGGGTCATATTTTGTATATTATAAAATAATATACATTCAGTACAAAAATAATATACATTCAACACAAAAATAATGTATATTGTATTTAGGGGATGTACATTATTTTTGTACTGAGTATACATTATATTGTATAACGTACATTTATTACAAAAATAATAAACATTTAGTATATTAAAAATATATTTTTTGTTATGGTCCACATAACACTGTGTGGACCATGGTCCACACAATCATTTGGCAAATTATGTTGTGAGTACGTGCTCACCATGTACATGGTGCACACAAATCTATATTCTTAATTTCTATACTGTATATCCATAATTTCTATACTGTAGATCCATAAATTTAATTCTAGACTCTCGGTGAGTTAAGATTATGAATCTAAAGTATAAATTTTAGCTCACCGAGAGTCTCGAAATTATGAATATACAGTATAGAAATTATGGATCTACAGTTTAGAAATTATGGATATAGATTCGTGGTTAGTAATTATGAATCTAAAGCATAAATTTCAGCTCACCGAGAGTCTCAAAATTATTGATATACAGTATAGAAATTATGGATCTACAATATAGAAATTATGGATATAGATTTGTGCACACCATGCAAGGTGATCACGTGCTCACAACACCTCAATTCTTCTGTTTCAGTCTTTGTGATGGAGTGCTAGGTTTTGAGCTATATTTATAGGTGATTTAGGAGTGTTTGAGTACAACATGGAGTTGAGAGATTTAATTTGTTTTTAACTGGGTTTATCAGTGTTGTATGAAATTACGTTTCTTCAATGGTTGCTGGAAGATATATGCCGGGTAATTAAGCATGTATGCTTTTAAGGATTTTTTATTTAAATCTTAATAATTCAGCTAGACAGTTGAGTTTTAATGAGAAAATTATATTTGATTAGTTAAATACCGCAGAAAACTATTTTTTAATGTGAGATATACTATATTAGAGATATAATGTAAGACTTCAATCAAACATTTTCATAGTCTATTTAAAGTACACGGAATCAATAAATTTCTTATTGCTTTTTAATTATACAAGGTTTTAGCATAATTATAATTAAACTCAATGTATGGTTCTTTCTCATGATGAATTATAAATGCACGGTTTGGTTCAAACCAAATATATCTAATTGGTCCTGGTCAAGGCCAAGGCCATGTAGAGCTAGGGGTGTGGTCGTGTGGGTAGTTTACAAATAGGAAAATTACATTTTTCATCTCTAAGTTATACTATAATGAGTAAATACCCAAAAAGTCCATCGACTATAGCTAAATTCACAAATTGATCATCGACTTTCAATTTCAACCAATTAAGTCCTTAACTTTGTAATTTTGACGCGATTTGGTCCTCCATCTATTTGACCGTTTGTTGACCGTGATCGACGATCTTCAGAAGAACCTTCAGCTCTCGTCGGAGCACGTGGAGGTCTCCAGGATGACGTTGCACTGGTTCGGAAACACGTCGTCTTTTTCACTCTGGTACGAACTCAACTACATTGAATCCAAAGGGAGGATGAAGAAAGGCGACCGGATTTGGTAGATTGCTTTCAGCAATGGATTCAAATGTAACAGTGCGGTCTGGAAATGTAACCAAAACCTTAAAAAACTGACGATGGACCATGAAATTACATATATATTCTCAAAAATCACAGTCAACAAACGGTCAAATAGACAGAAGACCAAATTGTGTTAAAATTACAAAGTTAAGAACTTAATTGGTTGAAATTGAAAGTTAAGGACCAATTTGTGAATTTAGCTATAGTCGAGGGACCATTTTAGGTATTTACTCTACTATAATTGTAGAATTTGTTCCGAAGTGTGAGTCGTGTTCATTTTTTGACCCTGATAGTGAACATGCTGTAAAAAATGTGTGTGTCAACTCATATATAAATATTATATTTGCCAAATTTTATCTGTCATGTTTACTATACATTAGTCAAATTAATTTTTTTTTATTTGCTTTTTTTAATAGTATTTTTTACTCTATTGTAATTTTTTGTTTGTTTAATAGTCTTTTAAGGTAGTTTCTAAATATATAAATTTTGTATATTAATTCTAAACTTAATATTATGATAAATTGAATTAAAAATAACTTTAGTCAAGCATTGTTCATCAAATTAAAGCAGCCACATAAAATGAGATGGATGGAGTATATATAATATTAGCTTGGAAGAGGTGACCGAGTAGTTGAGCATGATTCTTGTATCAAAAGGCGGCTAGTTTCATTCTGGTTACCTTGAATTGGTTATCCAGGCCAAGTGTGCACCCTTAAGTTTTCCTTGTCATTCAAATAATATAATATTAAAATTCGGCAGTATGTATATAGAGTAAAAATTGAGTTATCTATATTTTCAAACCATCTTCAATAATCCAAAAGTAGTCAGGAAGGCGAGCACGATGGCGTTTGCATGCTTCTGACGTTGGATCTTCCACCCAACAAGCCATAAGGCATAACACCTGCATGCATGCGCGTATAGTAGTACGTACGTGCACATCATATCATAACATATATTTCTTTTTGAGTCAATACCCAAAATCGTCCTCGACTATAGTGATTTTTCTCAATTTCATCCTAAACGATTTTGGTGACCTAATATCGTCCCAGACTTTTGTGTTTTGCTCAATTTAGTCCCAGATTTTTGTGTTTTTGCTCAATTTAGCCCCTCATTTGTTATTCTATCCATTTGGTGTTAAATAAATAGACAATTCAATAATTTTAATATTGGCATCTCTTTACTCATAGACATGTGAACTGCGAAATCCTTTTTTTTTTTTTACGAATTACTCTAGAATTACTGCTAAAACTGCGAATATAAAATTTGATTTGCAGGTTCGGGAGTAAATCTGGGTGTAATTCGTACAAGAAAGAGGAATTTCGCACTTCACAAATTGAAAGTAAAGAGAGATCAATATTGACATTACTAAATTGTCTCTTAATTTAACACAAATTTGACGGAATAACAAATGGAGGACTAAATTGAGCAAAACACAGAAGTCTGGGACGATATTAGATCACCAAAATCGTTTAGGACGAAATTGAGAAAAACCACTATAGTCGAGGACGATTTTGGGTATTAACTCATTTCTTTTTCTTCTTTTTTTTTCCTTGTAAAAAAAAAAAAAAAAAAAAAAAAAAACTCACTTTATCCACACAGCCAATGCAAAGATATGATATCTGCTGTTCTCATCCTCATAGTGCACATGCTGTATTGCGATCTTCAAAGCCTTATTATCTCTTATTAGCTTGGAAAATGGCATGGGCTCACCAATATGATGAACAAACCCGGCCCCCATAACATACATATCTTGCATTAAAGGATGAGGGTGATACACATCTTCCTATCACAGGATCGATCGGAATTTTTTTTTTTTAAAAAATCATAATCTTTTTACACATTATCAACTAATCTTAATTTTTTTTTTTTGTCAGCCAGTACGTACTATAATCCAACTAATTCACATTCACATTCACATTCACATTAAGCCGACTCAATTAAGGGGCAAAATATTTGTTAAATTGATTTTTCTATATGAGAGAGGTTCAAACTTGTGACTTCTCTTAAAGAATAGAGTACACAGCCACTCACACCAACCAAACTAGTTAAACCAATCTCCAGATCGACAATAATACTAGTATACTTTTCAGGATGGAACTTGGGATTCCTAAAGTTTTTTGTACTAAGATATATAGAGGAAATATACAATAATGAAGTTGTTGGATGTGTTTCTTCTAGAGGCTAGTCATTCATCTGGAAACGCTTTCACACGGCCTTCAACTAGATTAATGCTAAAAGAGCAGCTGAAATGTCTAAATCTCACCCGTATGTTCTCTTCTTCCCAAAAGGTTGAATCCTCAACTCCAAAACTCCTCAGATCTCAACCCAAGAAGTCCCTCACTTTGAGAGACACTTTGAGAGGTTACTTCCACATTGTCGTAAGTGGGACTCGATCTCTGGTTATTCTTCCCAAACTTCACCCCTATGATCAACTCTATGCGAACAACCCGTATGCTTTCTTATTAGAATCTTCAATCATGCGGACGAAGATTATGTTCTCATTTCAACTCATATATATATATATATATATATATATATATATATATATATATATATATATATATATATATATATATATATATATATTGCACATAATTTAACCTCATCTAAAAGCATAGATTTTTTAGATGTTATTTGTAAAAGGAAAATGCTTTCATCCCTACAGGTACATACCACTCCCGATTATAAAAAGAAAATTATTTATTTTCATTGATTATTGGAAAATTGACTGGTCCAACTATGAGTAAATACAGAAATTCCCCGCATGGCACAAAAATCTTGCAATCCAGATTTGACCATTTATTTAGGCTTTATTTATCTCTGCAATTATCAATTTTTTTACATGGACCTTTAATCTTTACTTCTTTATTTTTATTCTGATGTAACAAGTAATAATAAGTTATTTTTATTCTTTAAATTTAAGAAAAATATTTTGAGTGGGAGAGTACAAGTTAGAAGTAATATTTTCTTTTAAAAAAAAATAGGCCCTACTGTCATTATCATACATTATATTTGCCTATCAGATAGTCAATAATTTCATGGATAATCTTACCTTTTGACTTTTATAGATTAGAGTTTTGACTATTATTGTTGAAATATAATAGTATAGGAAACGAGCACATATTGTCATGAAAATATATGCTTCCATTGTGTTTTTTGCCAATTGAATGAAAGGAAAAATGTATGGTTTAATTCACTCTTAGTAAAATTTTAAACGAATTGAAACAAACAGTGAAGTATTTATAAAATTTTAAAACAATTAAAGTGAAATTAAAGTAACATTATGTGAAATTTGTTGTTGGCATGGCATTAGAGCAACCACACCAGTGCATAATGGGAGAATAATGTCAGAAATTAGTGCCATGTGAAAGAGAGAGAAGCATGAAAGAGAAAAATGGGCTCCTCCTGCAAATGTTGGGAGATTTCATAAAAGTGGGACCCACAATTAATTTTAATCATCGGTGACAGCCATGCGTGGCTGTCACCTATGCGCCCTCTCGGCGCGCCTGACAATAAATAAAATATCATTATTTTTATTTAATTTTTTTTTCCTTTTTTTTTTTTTCCTTTTTTCTTTCTCTTCCCATTTTCTCTATCCTAATCACTCTTACATTATCTCTCCATTATCCCCAACCATTGCGGATGCTCTTAGACTATTAGAGTACCCCACCCTAGAGAGATCAGAGGGTACTATTAAGTGATTTTCAAAAAAGCTATATCCACGGACACCGGACAAAGGAAATAGATGCCTACATCTCCAAAGGGTTACAATATACTCAAAATACACAAAATTCAGATGGGTCATGGTACGGTCGTAGTACTAAATGAAAAGGAAAAAAGGAATATATATATATATATATATATATATATATATATATATATATATATATATATATATATATAAACTGACGACAGACAGTGATGTTTGATTACATTAAGGTTTTCAAATTGAGGAAAAATAAAGGTGTGGATTTGAAAAACATTATTTGTGGATGCAGGACGGATAGTTGGGGAATTTGCTACACTTACGAGAGTTGGTTTGGAGTAGGAAGATTAGTTGCTTGTGGAAAAATTTACCATAATTGCGATGCTCTTCGCAAGACTTGCACTTTTCTTATATCAAAACAATTTACCAGATGACGGATAGGTTGAGAGTTACCTTTCAAGCTCAACAAATGTATAATTATATTATTTAATTTACCTCTTAATATTTACTTTATCTATAACACTACCAGATTTGTTTATTTTTGCATTTGATAACGAAGTAGGTCAATAAATATATGTGAAAGGTTTTTATTGTTACGCATATCAGAAACATTAGAAAATAAATTTAGGAGAAAAATGGTCAAGTCCAACTAAGTTGTCCAGGTTATTGACTTGGTAACCACAAGATTACAAGTTCAACTTCCAGCATGAGTGGCCTATTGGTCATCTAGGTTTGTGTTGGTCAGTTAAGAGCAATCTAAGTTAGTTTACCTTATTGTGATGACTTGAGTCACAAGACGAGACTTACTTAGTGCACATAGTGATTACGGGTTCTTTCGTCACTCAAAAAGTTTAGAAGAAAAATTAAAAATAGTATTATCTAAAAAAGAATTTTGTTGTTTTAGCCTTCCATAATTTATTAGATGAAGGCCCCTGTGATTTAATATCATGTTGATTGTAACAACAAAATAAAAATGTTTTATGTATAATATTGCAAGTCAAGAATTTAATTCTGATATTACAATTTTGTTAGTTAAATATAATAGATGTTTTATGCTATTTTGATGTGACATTTGGTGGAGAAATTTTGTATTTTGGTGTAATGTAGGTTCGAGATGCTCTTTGCTTTAATTTTTAACTTTTTTTTTTTTTTTTGTATCAAGATATGATGTCGATTTTTTAAGAAGAAGAGTTAATTACCAAAATGGTCCATTGGCTATAGCGAAATTACCAGTTTGATCCTTGACTATTTTTTTAACCAATTAAGTCCTTTAACTTTAAAAATCTTAACCAATTTGGTCCTCCGTTTGTTTGACCGTTAGTCAACCGTTAACTTGGGACCAAATTGGTAATTTCGCTATAGGCAAGGGACCATTTTGGTAATTAACTTTAGGTGGGCAATTTGGTTTAGTTTTCTCGAACCAAACCGAACCGAACTAGTTTGGTTCGGTAATATACCAAACAACTGAACGATATTGGATCCTTGTATACGGAACAGTTCGATAAAAAACTGATCCGAATTGTTCGGTAAAAAATTAAACTGAACCGAATACCGTTTGATTTTTTTTTTTATATAAACAAAATATAATAATAATAATAATAATAATAATAATAATAATAATAATAATAATAATAATAATAATAAATAAATAAATAAATAAATAAATAAATAAATAAAAAGTAAATCCAAGTCCCTTGCTGCTTGCTCTGCTGTTCAGCTCATATTCTCATGGGTATCTCTCGTAAATGTTTTATTTGATTTCTTTATGGTTTGTTATCAAAAGTTCTATATTATGTGTTATGGTGTTTACATAGTCCATATCCAAAGTCTAATATATAACAAAATAGCAATCCATAGTTCAAAAGGTATTCGGTTCAGT